GTACCGTTCGCCGAAGGGTAACAAGCACATGTTCGCTGCTAGGCCCATTCATTCTTATTTCGGGGAGACAAAAATAACACTTTTCTAAGCAAGCTCTCATTTTATCTCATGGTTTCATACAAGCATGAAAATATCACAAAATAGCAAGATATACAAACTGAAAACAGCAGAAATTTTCAGAATTTTAATCTGGATTGCAGAATTTTCTGGGAAAAAACGGTAACACATTTTGACACAAAATTTTGCAGATATGTAGTTCAGCAAGTCTAGAACGTACATAAAAATTTTCATACCAATCCAAGGTCTAGAAGTATTTTTCGCGAAATTTTTCCCAAAAACCGGGGCGGACAGAAAATTAACTGCCAACATAATGCCAAAAACTTTACAGAATTTTATGGGATATCTAGAGCATATTTTCAACAAAATATTTTGACAGATATCAAATAACACAAGTCTAGATTCTCCAGAAGAAATTTCAAGCCAAAAAGAGTTCAATAGGTATTTTTTACGAATTTAATTTTCAAACTGCGCCAATCAGAATTTTCATGCTCATATATAACTAAATGGTGATTTCAATTTTGCATGGCTCAGTTGTAACTATCAAATATCGAATGAACATCAATTGCCATTTCAAGAAAGAAAAAAAATTTACAAGCAAAACCAGGAGCATCAGCTTCAGCTTCAATAACTGGCAAAGATGGCATAGAAGAGTAGTATCATACTCTCACAAGTATCACAAAAAAAAACTCATAACGTAAAAGTTTTCATTCTGTGGCATGAACACATTTAAAAAAATATTTGTCTTTCATGGCCAACAAGGTGTTTCTCGGAGGATAAATAGCGGTAAGTAAATCAGATTATAACTGAAATGCTGCTTTGTGATGACCTTAAATCCCCCATCGTCTCAGGTATTGATTTCCCTGACCAGCCAATATATAGGAAACAACACAGGAAAGAGACGATTATCATCAATGCACTCTTCTATACACAGTCCATTTCATGCACCTATTGTGCTATGGAAAATTAGAAAATTGTCAACTTTTGCCTTGGAGTTATGCAAAGAAATCGGGTTTCTGGTATGAGCATAATACAAACTAGAAAGCAAGTTAAGAAAGAGCTTGCTTAGAACAGTGATGCATAACATATTCTATGATATTGAAACAGATAGACATATAGTCACTACGCATTGCATTTAAGTCCTTCTTTTCTCTAAACTTATGCTCATTTGATGATATTTTACTGTTACCTCAAAAACCTTCAATAGCGCAGCTTATTTAAACATAAACAAGTAATAAGTGTTTATGAAAAATACCGTTCACCCATGATTCAACACATTAACTCAGAAGATCACGGCATGGTGGAACCGAACAGCAACAGGCAGCAGAAGGAGGTGAAACAGACACCAAGGCAGCTGATGTAATCTCCACCACTCCATCTTTGATGAACAAATCGCAGACATGGTGAAGCTGGGATCATTATTTTCTTTTACCCCTTTTCCTTTTTAAAATTCAAGGCTTTGTCTTCTGGACAATCAACAACCTACAACAAGGGGTCTATGGTTGCTTTCAGTCCAATCCCCCTTGTTGGATTCACAGCCCCCTTTTCTGCAACGCGGACATGGACTACGCAGCTGTCTGCCTTTGCATGTTCGCAGATGGCCGTCATCATTTGTGACCAGATCAACCTGCGGCGATGGAGGGAAAAAAAATACTAGGGGACTGTCGAATTGAGCTTAAAGCCATGAGAACAGGTAGCCGCAACCACACCGAGATCTCCTCTTGTTCGCCGGAAAACTACCGACCGCGCAACAAATCCGGGGAAGTCCGGAGACCTCCGATCGATAATCTGACCAGCGGGAGATGTTCTCGTCACACCCCCAACTCCATCTACACCCTTCGGTCGTCCATGGAATGGCCCAATCGCCGGTAAAAAACTCCAACGACGAAGACGGGTTCGGAGCGCGAGACTTCGCAGATGGCTGACGACCACCAGTTCGTTGATGACGCTGAACAATACCCCGGTCGCCGGCTGACGCTGAGGAAACCGATACCAATTCGGAGACTAGCATCACGGTGGAGGAAATCAAAACCGGTCCATGGCTCCGCAAAGAGTACAACTACACGCATTCGATCTCATCTCCTTCTCCTCCCGGCATCTAACTTCTTCCGTCTATTCGTTACTCACAGCGGCATCGCCGGCACCGATCGGGGTTGTATCGGCCGAATCGAAGGATCAATAAAATAGTCTACGGTATAGGGAGGATACCTAGGGCGGAGGGATTGATTGCAAAACTCCATTAGGTAGAGCAAAATACTGATAACGTGTTGTAAGAATATCAGAATAGAGAATAGAAAGGGGAGGTTTCTCATTCATCGATAGAATTCATATACAAAGGTATCACCAAATATAAGGTAATAACAATACATATAAAAGGTAGTCACCTATCAATTACAACTACTACCATATATATAATAATGTCCATATTAATATTTACAACAATACCAAATCAGAATGATAAGATCTTCACTCAAGATTCAATGAATTAAGGCAAAAGACTTTAAGTTATATTGAAACTCATTAGAATTTTCAACAGGAGAAGGTTGAGACTCAACATATGGTGAATCCATTACACGACATTTGGTTGGAGAGGGGGAATTACGTGGGAAAGGAATTGCAATTCCATGGGAAATGAATTACTGGAAATAAAGTGAGAATTTAAATTCCAGTGTTTGGTTTACAGGAATAGAATTACTGGGAATTTTAATTCCAATGTTTGGTATACATGGGAATTGAAAGGGAATAAGTAGTATAAAGTCCAAAATGTCTATTGTTGTTGTCAAGCATTAATTTTAGGTTAAAAAAAGGGAGGGGTAATTTTGCTCATCACTATCTTTTTTTCTTCCTAAAATCCCAGGAATTAAAATAGCAGGGGGACATGGGATTTTAATTTCATGAAAATGGGAGAATTGCAATTCCTTTCAACCAAACAAGAAAATTTTGTGATCTTTGGAATTATGTGAGAATTAAGTGGGAAGGAAATTACCAGGACTATGTGGTCTAATGGTACCCGGGTTGGACTTCCATTTGGAAGATTATGAGTTTGAGCCTCAGTGGAGACAGATACTGCAATGTAATAGAGCAAGTAATTTTCAACAATAAAAAAAAAGTGGAAATGGAATTTAAATTCCCTTCAACCAAACGTCCTGTTAATATTTCAGGCTATTGACTAATAAGTTAAATATTTTACCAAATAGAGCAATTATCACCTTCTCATAATACAACGCTTATTCAAGAGACCTGGTGGACACCGTAGAATATGATGCCTAATCAGACCAGATAAAAAAATCTGTTACTGGCCAGATGACTACTTAAACACCAAATTGTGTTACATTTCCAAGTAAAAAAAAAAAAAAACAAGAAATAATAATGGCAAAGAAACAAAGTAGTGTAGAATTTGCCCAAAGATTCTTTATCAACCAATAAGTAAACTGGTAATTTCCCATCATTGCCTCAGAAACCACAAAGGCATACAAGCACTTAAAATGAAAAAATGCACTCCAGTTGAGCTTTTAGTTAAACAAGAAAGACATACAAGTGTGATATATTAATTAAATTAATTAAAAATTTATATTATTAACTTTTTTAAAAAAACTTAGGCAAATAAAATAAAAACAAATTATTTGTATGTATAAAAATAAATTATTAAAAGCTATTTTTATTTGTATGTAATTATTAATAATTAATAAATTATTATTGTAAAATAAATTTATATCGTCTAAAAGCATTTTACATATTATCAGCTAAAATTAGTACGGAATAATTAATTTTATCTAATGCTTTTTTATAAACAATTAATATTTAATCAAATCTTTCTACCAAAAAAAAAAATATTTAATCAAATCAACTAACATAATCGGCTAACTACTAATACAAATTATACAATATGCTAACCACTAACAACTCATTTGCCAAACAACTGAAACAAGACCAATGAACCTATTAATAATAAAAATGAAACGAATATACCAAAATAGACATATATTTTAGTGAATCATTTTGTAATATAAATTATACTCCGATAGTTCACTATATAAGACCATCTCCAAAGAAGATAACAAAGAACCATTTTGGTGTAAATTTTTGGCGCAACCTTTCTCCAGACACCAAATTCTACACCAAAATGGTGTAAATAAATAGTATTACACCATATTCTACGTACACCATGGTGTAATACTATTCATTTATACCATTTTGGTGTAAAATTTTTTAAAATCTTTTTGCCAATTGTTTCCTTTTAAAAATTTATATTATTAAAAATAAATTATAAAAATTTAAAGATCTTATTAAGTCGTTTTAAACAAGATCAATATCAACAATAAAATAAGTAAAAATTTAAATATCTAAAAACATAAGTTTATTTTAAAATATTATTATTTATATCAAAATTATATTTTATATTAAAATAATTAAAGTAAAAAAATTAATTTTTTAAATTATAAGAATTTAGTTTTTTGAGTACTAGTAACTCTGTTATAATGTATGAATAGAAATTGGTTTAAATGAATTGGAGATAAAAAAAAGGTTAGTACAAAACTTGATGTAAATGAGTTAAAAATAAAAATAATTTGGTGTAAGAATATGCTGAAAATATATATATATATATATTTATGTAAAACTTGGTACGGATTACAAATAGCGTAATATGCATACGAAAATTTTTATTCGATATATATCCCAAAATTTTGTGCAGCTGTTTTCACATTTCAGGAGCATAGCAAGCGCGAAAATAAAACAGTAAAAGTGATACGTCCTAACATCATTGGCTTAAGCATCCTCACGCGGATCACTATCTGACTCTCCATTTCGTACAAAATCCTGACCATTAAAAATTTCACTCAATCTACGGCTTGTACTCACCTTCAAAATCCCCAAATTTCAAATCACCTCTGAAAATTTCATAATTCTCTTCGTTCCCGCCCAGCCCTCAATTCCCTATAAAACACTCTCTCAGTTCATAGCCAAACAAACCATTCCCAATTTCTCTCTCTAAATTCTCTCTCGTTCTCTGAAGATCAGTATTCGATTGTTGAAATGGCTCGTACTAAGCAAACCGCTCGCAAATCCACCGGAGGGAAGGCTCCACGGAAGCAGCTGGCCACGAAGGCCGCCAGGAAGTCTGCTCCGGCGACCGGCGGAGTGAAGAAGCCCCACCGATTCAGGCCGGGGACGGTGGCCCTGAGGGAGATCAGGAAGTATCAGAAATCGACTGAGCTTCTGATCCGGAAGCTTCCGTTCCAGAGGCTGGTGAGGGAAATCGCTCAGGACTTTAAGACCGATCTCCGGTTCCAGAGCGGCGCTGTTGCGGCGCTTCAGGAGGCGGCTGAGGCTTACCTTGTTGGATTGTTTGAGGACACTAATCTGTGTGCTATTCACGCTAAGAGGGTCACCATTATGCCCAAGGATATGCAGCTGGCTAGGAGGATTCGCGGGGAGAGGGCTTAATTAATTAAGATGAAGAAGGTTGGTTTGGTTATTCAATTGTATGTTCTGAATGTGTTCTCACGTAGTGCCCGCTTAAATTAGATCTATTGCCCAGTGAAGTGGTGTAAATCTTTGTGTTTATCGGTAAGAATTTGATGTAAACCATCGATTCAGTAGTAGTTTTGATGTTTATCAATCAACCCATTGCCTTAATATTGTTCTGTTCTTGGATTTATACCTTCAAGGCTGCAAATTGTGGCATCCGTTTAAAGATTTAGACCATCTCCAGCTAACATTGGCAAAAAATTGACACATTGCTTCTAATGAACACGTCAAAATAGCAATAATTTTGTTGTTGGTGAACAATATTGCATCATATTTGGTCTAGTATTGTTCATTAATGGCAAAAAAACTAAGTGTACGAATATTTGGCATCTCAAAAATGCTCCACTTATTCATCCTCCACCGTTGCAGCCTGCCAGTCTATCGCTCTCTCCCTTCATGTTCACAACCTCCGTTTCCCTACCAAGCCATTGGTGGGGCATACATTATATTATCTCAAGAAGAATTAGGGTAATAAGAATTTTAAGAATAATGTGGTTGGTGAAGATATATAGTAATTTGGTACATCTATGTTGTGGTTGGCATTAATATTGATGATATGATGGTGAGTATTGATAATATGGATAGTATTATTTTAATTTTTCATAACTCTAGATGGATTGTCTTCAACATTCACACTTTGCAAAAATAAAAAATAAAAAATCAAAGGTATCCAAAAAATAAAAGGATTTGTATAGTTGCAAATTGAATATAAGGGGTATTCTTCAAATCTTTCTAAAATGCCTATTTAATTTTTTTTTTATTTTTATTTTTTTGTATACCTTACTAGTATTAGGGATGTCAATCCATCTAGTCCTATAGGTTTTGGGTCAACCCTATCGGGTTGTCGCACTTATTGGTTTCAAGCTAATTTTTTATTAGGTAATTTTTTTTTTTTTTTTTAACTCTAACCTTAAACCACCAAACTATCAGGCTTATTTAGTGGCCTCAACTAAGTATTTTGACATTTTAAAATTAAAGTCCAACAGGTTTAAGGGTGCAAATTATTCTGTAGACTCATGTCCAAATGTTCACAATTCACCTTTTAAAAATTTACAATTTGTATGCTACATACGAACACACAATGTTAACATATATGTAATTGATTACCTTGTTTTGTTTTCACAAATTCCTTTTAAATACTTTAGTCACACAATATTAACAAATTATGATTTGATGACCTTGTATTGTATTTACAAATTCCCTTCTAATATTGTTATGCTTTTTGACTTAGAAGTTTACAATTCCAATAATAAAATATACACAATTTATACATCATTTAAGATCAAGACCTGGTCCTTGGTATAACAACTCGTCTACGGTGGTTACGAGAAGAAGGAATTTGATGGAAAGACCGGTAGTGGAAGTGGCATACGTTTCTCTACATAATCTACCACAAATGTTGGTGAGATCAAAACATCTATCTTGGCTAATGAATAGATCCTTCATCTGTCTCCGAAGCCATAATTGTATTAATTGTTGAGGAAGCCATAGATGATAGATGGTGGAGAGAGCTAACATTGAGTGTCTAGTTCCCCCTCCCTTAGATGGAAAATACACAAATTAAAAGATTGTTTTAAAAAACCAACCTAAAACAATCTTCTTGGATATCCTTATGGCTTTGAATTTGCAGGTGTACGTGTCTATTAAAGAACTAGCCGTGACGCAACTAGCCGTGACGCTACTCCCGAAGAGGCTCCAAGAAATGCAACTCCACTTGAAACAACACCACTTCCGCCCGAACCCACATCTGAACCCCGAGCAGCAACTCTATCAGCATCACCCACCACACCACCACCACAAACAACCAAAGGAAACACAACAGCAGCACTTACCCCAATTGCAACACTCTTGGAGAATATCATTGATGACATAGCTGATGGTTCACCCCAATCACTACCAGCAACTGAACAAAAAACTCCAGAACAAATTGAATTTGATAGGTAAAACTCACATATCACTTAACAGTATCCTTATGTGCATTTATCCTTGTTAATTATTTAATCATGTTGTTATGCCTACTGCTTAACACATTAAAACATGTTCCTAATTACTTTTCTGTCTCTACAAAGCATCATTGCTGAATCTGAAGATGATGTTGAAGATGTCAATGTCCGGAAGAGGCCACAGCGAAAGTTCAAAAACCTCCCTCTGGCTTGTCGATCCCCGTACTGGACAAGCAACATTTCAAAGCTCAAGAATGTTTCCGCCAGGGAAAAACTGATCTCAGACTATGCATTCCTGCCATCAGATGAAACTGAGTACCCTTATTAGTATGTATTTCATTTATAACTTGTTATAACAGATGCTTTCAGTTGATATACCACATTATGTGTATTCATGATATTTGTTATGTGTATTCATTCATAATATTATGTACATTGGTGTTCTCAATTGATATACCACATTATGTGTATTCCTGATATATGTTATGTGTATTCATGGTATATGTTATGTGTATTCATTCATGATATTATGTACATTGGTGTTCTCAGTTGATATACCACATTATGTGTATTCCTGATATATGTTATGTGTATTCATGGTATATATTATGTGTATTCATTCATGATATTATGTACATTGGTGTATCCTGGTTATATGTTATGTGTATTACTTCATGACATTATATTACTTTAAATTGTGAAATGTTTATTTTGTAATATCAACTTGCTTTGTTTGTTTCCAGTGAAATGTTGTCTTCTGCCCATGATCCGTTTGCAACGAGGGAGGACATTGCAACATTGGCAAATGGACAACTAGCTACAAATATCCTGCAAATCTGGGCACACAGATTGACGGTGCTTGATATGAAAAGATCAATTGATCAACCAAAAAGGATCTTCTTCTCGGAAGCTGCTTACGTAAGTACACATCTACAACTAACGCATTTTTTAAAACAATGTACTATATGACACACAACCTCTTCTTTACAGATGACACTTGAAAATGTTGAAATAAAAGCAAGGAATATGGATATAGGTGACTTCTGTGCAAATATTGACTACCAGTTGAGGGGGACTGCAATTGATATCACAGATGCAAGTCTTGTAAGTAAAACAAAAAATATATATATATATATATATATATATATATATATATATATATATATATATATATATATATATATATATATATATATATATATATATATATATATATATATATATATGAATTCTAAGATTATTGAATTTATGTCTGTATTTGACACAGTTTGTTAAATACCTTTTAATTATTCATTTCAGGTTTTCTTTACAATCTTGAGGCACATTCACTACTACTTGATGTGCTTTAACATCCCCAAGTGAAAACTTCAGATCATTGATAACAAGCTAATGCCCAAGGGAATACCAAATACGAACAGATATGAGAACTGCCCGGCTAAGTTGGTAAGATAAACTAATACTCCTATTAAATATCTATACCCTATAGTTTAATATTTACATTACTTAAATTAATTAAACACTGCAATTACTATAATGTGCAGAAAACAGCTTTCTACAAATACCTCCAATCGAAGAAAAACACCCTTGTAAGAAAAGTGAAGAATATCGAAGCTGAGTGCATTCACATGCCATGGCAAGATGAAGAGAACACAACAGATTGTGGTGTGTATTGCATGCGCCACATGGAAACTTACAAAGGGACTGCAGTAGACAAATGAGAAACTGGTTTCGTAGGGGGTGATAGTGATGTAAGTAATAATCAACTTTGTTCTACATTACACATGTTATCTCTTGTTTCTTCTAATTTTAACATGTATCTTTTGTTTACTGTAGGCTGCTTTCATTACATCGCTTAGAGCAAAATATGCAGCAAACATCATCATGTGGAAGAAAAACGAATACATGGAAACAGTCATGCAATCAGCAAGGGATAACTACAAGAAAGAGAAGTGAAACTACTAACCACAATCTGTAAAAATCAGTTCTGCTAATCCAAACACATGGTTACTTGTATTTTTGGTTCAATTTCTAGAAGTTTCAGTTGATAAACAATTATCAAAAATTTGTATATGCCCCTTTTGGTAATCCAATCTAATGTTTACTTGTATTCTATATTTTTCATATTCCCCAATATGGTTTTGTGCATAATCAATCCATATACTACACAAACTGTGAACTATCAAAAATTGTACATAATCATATGAAGTAATACATATAACCCATATAATGAATACACATAAACTTTCAAACAGTGCACATACTACTAAAAAAAGTCTAACAAATATTTTGTTTCTGCTAATATATATATAATCAAACATCCTACTGAACGTAAACATGTACATAATACACATATGACCAAGCATATCATTTCCCTATACTGATAACTGCAAATCTAAAAAAAGAAATGTACATAAATAAATAAAAGTAATTAACACAAATAAAAATGTACATAATCATATGAAGTAATACACATAAAGTATATAAGGAATACACATAAAGTATATAATTAATACACATAAACTTTTAAAACAGCACATATCATAATAAAAGTCTATTTTATTACTGCTGAGTTATGTGATTTAACATCGTTCTGTACGTGATACATATTACTACGATGATTAACACTAACATGTGCTTTAATTATCATCCATGCTTGACATTGTGCTAACGTGACAAAAACTAGAACCTCCGGAACTTGGGTGCACAAGATATCCATCGCCTGCAATATTTAAAATATCACCCTCAACTTGAGACTGAACAACAGATTTTATTTTGGAAGCAACCATATTTGCAAGATGCTTCCGTCCCCTTGCTTTGTTATATTTCTTTGAAATAACGCTGCTCACCCTCCTATTCCGCAACCCTTTCATCCGCCTAGTAGATGGATCCTTTATAACACCACTTGTCGATCCTATGTCACAATCTTCAAATAAACTGCCACCACATTCAGCTTCAAGTCTTCTCTTTGCATCTGCAATTGCTTCTTCACAAATCTTCCGTCCTTCGATATTTTCCTGACTATAAACAGCAAGCCTCTGAAATTTCCTAATGATTTCTAATAACCAAACAGAAGATGCACCATTACCACTATCAACTCTAGACATTATATCAACATTATCAACTTCAACAACTTTTTTAGTCCACCTCTTCAAAATATACTTCTCGGGGACTTCAGAAACACAATG